ATTCTGCAGCAAATGGAGCCTGGATGCGTTAACATGACACTGGGAGCCGCGAAGGGCTCCGGCTCAGAAATAACTCCAGAACCAGGGGATTAATGTCGGAGATCAAGATCTCTGCGCGTAAGAAAGGGCGCGAAGAAATATACGAGGAGTGTATCCACAGTTCGAACCACAGATCCATGGTCCGCCAGGAACTGCACAATAGGGTGTGGCGTAAAATAAGTTGTTTTTTTTTATTCCAGCCGTAGTTTCACGTGATACCTTCCATTCGTGACAAAAAATAACTGTTCCGCAACGTTCTCGAAAATAAGGAGCATTGCTGTGCAAAAACACAATTTCATTTTCGGTGTTGGCAACATATGTAACGTTGCATGCAGCGTTACAGTCTAAAAAAGATATTTACTCGTCTTACAATTACACTCTTACACTGAACGCCTTCAGGAATGCTTCTGGTATGCACAGCAGATCTTAAAAAAACTACTAAATGCCCATAGTCCCTGGCGCTTCGTAAAAGAGGGCGTGACGACAAGCATCGTGTTCCCTTCAACAACAAAAATATCGATGCAATGAACAGCGTCGCAATGATCCGCTGTTTTGTATGTACATATCGCTATATTCTTTATCAATGGAGGCTTTTAAGCCATGATACACGGAAGCCTCAGCCCTACGTCACCCGGCCGAATCCATACACATGCACCACACCGCTGAAGGCAAGGCACAGTCGGTGATGACGCCCAGTAGTGGGCCCTTCACGGTCCACTGTACGGCCTTATCGTGAGGGACGAATTGCTGCACATTCATGGGCCTGGCAAGGAATACCTGAGACTCTCCTCCCGCCATGCTACGGGAGAGAAGGGAGTCCCTGTGTCCACGATCAATACGTTGTCCTCTCCACTGTGGCGACATTACACTGGAGGACTGTTCCTCGTTCTGATGTAGGTGTTACACATCTCCCTCCCAACTTCTCAAGGATGGCGATCTGCCCTCGCGGTCACTGCACAAAGTCTGCGGTGGCGAGGTCGTGAGCCCCTGATCCCAGCAGCTCACCAGCGGGCATATCACGGTAAGTCCTGACACTGGCGGTGGCGAGGTCGTGAGCCCCTGATCCCAGCAGCTCACCAGCGGGCCTACTCACCGGTAAGTCCTGACACTGGGGTGGCGAGGTCGTGGCCTGATCCCAGCAGCTCACCAGCGGGCCTATCACCGGTAAGTCCTGACACTGGCGGTGGCGAGGTCGTGAGCCCTGATCCCAGCAGCTCACCAGCGGGCCTACACCGGTAAGTCCTGACACTGGCGGTGGCGAGGTCGTGAGCCCCTGATCCAGCAGCTCACCAGCGGGCCTACTCACCGGTAAGTCCTGACACTGGCGGTGGCGAGGCGTGAGCCCCTGATCCCAGCAGCTCACCAGCGGGCCTACTCACCGGTAAGTCCTGACACTGGCGGTGGCGAGGTCGTGAGCCCCTGATCCCAGCAGCTCACCGGCGGGCCTACTCACCGGTAAGTCCTGACACTGGCGGTGGCGAGGTCATGAGTCCCTGATCCCAGCAGCTCACCAGCGGGCCTCACCGGTAAGTCCTGACACTGGCGGTGGCGAGGTCATGAGTCCCTGATCCCAGCAGCTCACCAGCGGGCTTACTAACCGGTAAGTCCTGACACTGGCGGTGGCGAGGTCATGAGTCCCTGATCCCAGCAGCTCACCAGAGCAGCTCCCAGCACCTTACAACGCACGGGTGACCCCGATTCGAATGTGACTCATAGAGTCATGGAGCCTGGGTGGCGCGATTGACACGGAGCTTCAGATGTGCCTTACATAAACATGCCGATGTCGCACCTGATCTCCACGATCAGGCTGCATAGTGGACAGTCAAGTGAGATACCAGCCTGGCGTCCTCATGGGCCGGGGGCGTTGGGGAGAGTTGCATCAGTTTTTACTCTGAGCTTCCTCACGTCACGTTTTGAGGATATGACAAAGATTCGTACATCTGCAGGCGGCTATAACATTTAGGTACATATGAAGTAGCAAAATTTTGGACAACGCTACTTCATTTTTCGGAAGACAGCCTCGGAATGAACCCCTATCAAACGACACAACTTATCCCACCGTGGGGTAAATTATGTCAAATGGTGCAGTAAGTTGCATTGATTTTCTCCACGGAGAAGGTCAAATTGCAAGGAATCTGAATTTGCTGACAGATGTCAACAAAAGACGTCGGTCTCGGTTCTTTCGCAATGCGTCGTGATTGCGACATAACAAATCCTTGCCCTTTATCAGCTAGCGTTTATTTTACAGGCTACCGCCACGACGGTTTCGGTTGCCCAGGTAGGAATTATGAATCTGCATAGGCACTGTAAATGCCCACTTATTGCTTGGCAATAGGCATTGGCAATGGCAATAAGCCATAGCAGCCACGTCAGACAATCAGTGACAATAAGTCAGTCAGTTGCATCATTGTCGGTACATTGCATCACCGAAACATGCCCCCTGCACAGCTGACACAATACGTGCCACACATCACCGGAAGAGAGTTCACGGTACCCCGAAATCCTTGGCAGACACCAAATGTTTGCAGCGTATTTGGCACAGGTACTTCCACCACTAAGAACAGCATTCCGATTAGTGCGGCTACGCTGTAAGACCTTAAACACACATTGCAAGCGATCGCTTGAGTTTTCAGCGATATGCAAAACATATATTGGTGGCGCTCGCCCAAGACGCATCCGTGTCTGAAGCCAGAAGAACACTGAAATATAGAGGGTTCTACTGGCCTAGTTCTACCACTAAGCTCACTAACGTAGGTTCGGCACCCGTCGCATATATTTGGGATAGATCGCCACGATACTACTTGGACATGATGCAACTCGCCCCACTCTTCCGTTTGACCTTCAGCGGCGGAATGTATTTGTCACGTGCAAGGCGGCTTATATGGAGATTGCGCTTAATTTACTACAACGGGAGGCCTTTCAAGCTCCCGGTGACATATGAAAGTGCAAAACAACGAATTTCTGTGCGTGAGATTCCACTAATCCAAAAGAGAAATACAGAGGATAAGCAAACTTGCAAGCCAAATATTTGCTCTCCATTTGTTGTACACCACTAGGCATCAGAGTGCACAGCGCCATTCCTTCCAGCTACTGGGACTGCCGCCTACAAAAACCGACCTCTAACGCTATGGATAATTGAGAAAGCGAAACGGCATTGCTTCCGTTGATACTAGTGATTAAACCATTGGTTTTTACTCGATGTCAGCTACTGCCTGCGAAAACAATGAGCATGTTTTTGATTGTCACATCCCGCGGCAATTTCGCATGCTGTGAACATCAACTATAGACTAACGATTTTGGGCAGCTAGCCTTAATTTTGCAAAAATGATCCTAGAGGCCTCGGTTCCTATGCACACACGGCATCAATTCTCACTTTGACGAAATTCGAATTAATTTTTGACCTGAAGAAGGCATTGAGACAGGTCCCCCATCTGCGGATAGAACCCGGGTTTCAGAATAAGTCTTTGAAACTATAGATACGTCTATCTAGCTGCAAAGAAAGTCCTTTATCTGAAGAAGGGGCCAAAAAAACGGACAGAGGTTTGTCGCGAAGGAGAAGGGGCTTTGGTTAGTTTTTATTAATAGGTCCCGAGGTCTGGACCCACGCGGGGAACTTGTGCCTTTAATGGGGCGACCATCGTGAAGGAATATGTGGCATATGTGGGAAACCTGCAATCGCAATCCAGTGTCGCTCAAGTATTTACTTAAGGTGAATCACACCGCTGTCGTATGCCTACTGAATTCCGCGACGCAAAGGACACCATAACACTAAGAACAAATCTGAGCAGGAAGTACTCACGAAATTTATCAGTAGACACGTAACTTGGAAGTATGTTAAGAATGGCTTCATCCCATGTGCATTAATGACTGACGTCGAGGTCAATTCGACAGGAGCGGAACACTTTTAATACGTCGGGTACACCTCCACAGGCTCTCCTGCCAGCCCGAACCACCAGCAATTGTGTTTTAGGCGCGGGGGGGGGGGGGGGTGGTGAATGGCAAACGTTTGGATCATCGCACCCACCAGCTGGCAGCAGCGACCATTCTATGGAACCCTAGGATCGTCGCTGGAAACCCGGCTGGGAAAGTTTCCGGCTTGTTTCCCATCGATCCTCGGTGGGCGTCCTGTCATCAAGTCCTGGTGACATCCTTGCTGGGCAGATAAGACCAATCCGCAAACGCCGCGCGTCGACTCACTTGAGCAACACCCACCGCCAAGCGTCAAACAACCCTAATCCTCGTCACTTCCGTGGCTCGCCGCGCGCCCGACGCTCCAGTGGCGCCACCTACTCGGCACCGACGCGTCCGGCCGGAGCCGGAGCCGGCGGACGGCACAGCTGTACGCGACGGCCCGCCGCCGGCACACAGCCGCATCCGCGCCCGTCATGCAGCGAGCCCTCCGACAGCATATCTACTGGTCTGACACCGGCGCGGCGGGGCGTCAGCAAGCAGTCACGACACGTGACGACACCGCACCCGTAACATTGACACGTCAATCATCCAGAAGACTGGTTGCGTTAGAGCCTTTCAGGAAGTTACTATGGAAAAATGTGACTTCAATTTCCGTCAGCATCAGATGAACGCCTAGTCGAGGAGCGCCGCACTGAGCGCCGCACAAAACTCGGACGCAAACTTTGGGTGCCTTGCCAAACGTCCACATCCTGTGAATCATGAACCTGATATAGCCTCGAATGATAAGCACAGCATAACGAGCCCGCGTCACCTTCCCGCCAGCGTTTCTTCTTTCGCCTCGGTCAACGCATCTCGACGCTCGCCGTATCTAAACTTAACGGTTAAACAAACCTAATAGTGATACCGATGCTGATCATTTTACACGCTCAATGGCGTTCACGGCGTCTTCTGCTCGCCGATTATCGCTTTGGGGAGAGGCTCTGGCTTTGCTCCTGTGACCTCAGGCTGGCCAGCGCACTGACGTTCCAGCCAGCGTTCGCCCGGTCCCGGGCGCCTGCGCGCGCCCACCTACCTTGTCGAAGAGGCTGCGCTTGTTCATGGTGGTGATGGCCGTCTGCGCCGCGTGCGGGTCGCCGAACTCGACGAAGCAGTAGGGGTCGGCGGCACTCTGAAACCAGACGGCCCGCCAGGCCCGTCATTCAGTCCCGGCCGCCTACCCGCCGCCACCGCCGCCCGACACGTGCCGCAGCCACGGCACGGCACCGCACGGCGCGGCGCCGCACGGCGCGGCACGGGCGTCCCCATCTCCCAAACGGATGAGGTGCATCGTACTCGATTTATGTCTTTGTCCGTGTACTCGCAATGACATATTCAGATAATCTGCAGCACGATTTTCAACCTTCTGATATTAACTTGTTTCATTTGGAGGCAGCAAATCGTCCTCACGCACGTCACGCGGTTAGGAAAAGTTACGCGTTCAACGTTTGTGGTCTGTTGAAGGGTTTAGCGAAAAGGCAGTTAGTTTGATTTCGATGCAAACTGGTTGAATGAGCTCGACATAAAGTAATCTCCAGCAGGATATGCAAGAATTCTTAACTGAGGGCGGGCGCAACACAATTTTTTTAGTAAAAGCCGAATCTCCTGCATGGCGTAAAACAACATCGCATGTTTTGAATCCGTTGAATTTGCGTGTCTAGTTCGATTTTTTTGATCGATAACATGTATTTACACATATTTATACGTGTCATACATTTGGCAAGAGTGGGTACGCACCATCAGAGGTTATTAGATGAGCACACCCCATGCAGTCTCATATTCCTGCATACATCCTGCAGTATGAAGAGCACTCCAGGTTCCCAATGTGTATTTGTACTCTGATTGACACTCAGCGACATTATGTCATCAATAAATTTTACACACACATCCGTCCGCCATATCGTACAGAAACGCCTCCAAGGGCTCATGGCTGGACCAAGCCCCATTTTCCCCATATTGTGCGCAATGACAACATGCGGCTCAAACGTGTTGCAGTCGCAGCGCTGGCCGCCTTCACTTGTGCTTAGCATGGGTTCCAAGCCTCCGCACATTTGCCGTCGCGGGCACAATCACTGGCGCCGCTGCGCCGCATGTGACGCATCCGCGATCACCGCCCCCTGACGCAGCGCGGCGTTCGCTTCTCCCGTCACTGCTCTCCGCCGCCGGGGCTCGGAGCCCAGCCGGGCGCCGTCCCTACACGTGGGCGGCATCCCAGCCGCGACGCGTCCGGTCCACCCCCGACAAGGACGCGGTCACCAACCAAACGTCACCTCCGGCGGAGGCGCGGTCATGATCCAAACGTCACCTCCGGCGGAGAAGCTGTCATGATCCAAACGTCACCTCCGGCGGAGGCGCGGTCATGATCTAAACTGGCGGAGGCTAAGTCACGACCCAAACGTCACCTCCAGCGGAGGCGCGGTCATGATCCAAACGTGACCAGCGGAGGCGCTGTCATGATCCAAACATCACCTCCGGCGGAGGCGCGGTCATGATCTAGACGTGACCTGCGGAGGACGCTGTCATGATCCAAACGTCACCTCCGGCGGAGGCGCGGTCATGATCTAGACGTGACCTGCGGAGGCGCTGTCATGATCCAAACGTCATCTCTGGCGGAGGCTAAGTCACGACCCAAAAGTCACCTCCAGCGGAGGCGCGGTCATGATCCAAACGTCACCTCCGTCGGAGGCGCGGTCACCACGCGCGCGTGTCATGACCCGGGGCATCGGGAGGCTGTACGAGCCCGTCAGGTAACGTTGCTGAAGCCCTCGCCGCCGTCCGCACTCGCAGCCTGACGCGAGCCGGCCATCCAGCAGCCTTCCGGTGCCGGCGTCCGCTGTGGCCGGGCCCCAGCGCCAGCACGCCGAGCGGAGACGGCGACGTCGGAGCGACACGAGCCGGTCTCTGCTCGCGGCGGCGGCGTCCCGCCCCGGCCGCATGGCGCGCGGTGTCGACTGACATGGCGCACGGAACGTGACCCGCCGCCGGGCCTCCCCAGGCTGTTCGGTCTCCGTCCGCTGAGCCAAGTCCGCCAGGCCATACCGCTATTGCAGGCGTCACAGTCACAGCCACAGCGAGCACACACAACACATACATATGTCTCCCATGTGGGTAACGTGAACCAACTGACACTACGTACGAGCACCAGTGGTGCAGACCTGGCGGCGAGGTCGGCCGGCGCTCCCGAGGGAGGACGGGCAGATGGGGCCGGGCCGACTGAGTCAGGAGGACTGCGCGACATCGGCTCATGACCAGTGCGCATCCAGCTCGACCCCAGATTACGATCACCAACCAACCCGACCACCTCAATAAATAGTTGTATTGGTCGTAAACTACGTCCCAATCTGCGCGCAGATTATCAGCCCAGTGCTGGCTGCACGCCAGACGGCTGATCGCATCGCCTAATTTGAGCAGCAGCGGCGCTCCAGCCGCCGGCGCCGCCACCACAGCTGGTGCCCCCCCCCCCCCCCCCTCCCCCCGCCGCACGGCCGAGCGCGCTCGTCCCCACACGAGCGCCTGCTCCCTCTGCCGGACGGCCGCTCCCCAGGGGCGGGCGCGGTGCGCCGGCCGGCTCGAGACAGCCGAGGCCACTTCACAAATGCGCTCCGTTCCGGGGGCCGAGCGGTCGACGGCCGCCATACGTTAGGCGGGCGGCCGACGCCGCCGCGCGGGCCCTACTCTGTCGCAGCCAAAGGACCACTCGCACAAAAAGACACCTCTCCTGGAGACGGGGAGGACACGTGGATCGGCCGGCCACGCTCACGCCAGCTCCGGAGCAGCCCGCCGATCGAGTATCTCGCGTCGGGCGTGACGCTATCAGCTTCAGACGATCCCCGGCGCTACGATCCGGATTCTTGCTCAGTGGCACCCGTCACCGGCACCTGCTGAGCCCTGAGGCTGGTTTCATGAAAAATGCATCCGACACTTATCATCAATTAACAAGTGTCAAATGCATTTTTTAATAAGTCACAGCATTACTTCTACAGGAATTTAAAAAATTACACCCAAAAATCCGAAAATATAACTGCGAAAACGGACCACCGTTGCATATCGGTGCGCTGTGGAAAACCAGGTATTGTATATTCGCGAGGGTTTTCGGTTTTTGGCAATGGTTGCGCCAGAGCCGGGAAGGCAACTAACTTATCTCATCAGAAAGGGACCAAGCGACATCCGGGATCGAGGAACAATCACACAGTAGTCACAGATATTATCACACAGTAATTGATAAAACAAAGTTTACTCAGTTAATATTTCCATGTAGCATGACTACCAGATGCATTACCTTGTTCCAATTGTTTTACATATGGTGTTCCTCAGAGTGGAAAGATCTACATCTTCCAGCGGCAGATGTGTGTCGTATGCTGAAGGCCTTAAAACTACAAGCGTTTGGAGAGCTTGCGTGTATATGAAAAGAACCACACAATGGGGACATCACGTAGCGATTTTTACGGAGTCCCATTGTCCATAACCACAATATCGTGGAATTAAGATTTGTTTTTGACTTCCCGTTGCCAACATGCAAAGAACTATTCGATGGTGCATAGAGAACGGATAGCCATTCTGAATACCTGTGGCCCAACAGCTTGCATATGGTGCACTGGCATGCATATTGCATGTGCCACCTTGAATGCGACGTGTTCTAAGATCGGGAATGCTAAGTTTTACGCCACCATGACACTCAATTTGTGGCATACGGACAAACGGCACGCCACTGGAAAACTGCTAAACCATAACGCTCACAGCTAACTTTCCCCTAATCTACAGTGCCGCATGATCACAGGATCTACCAGGCGCCAGGAGCAATCGGCATGACGTGATCAGTTACCATCTCCAAGTTTTAGCTCATTGTGACGCTTCAGATACCATGCTTCAGATTGCAGCCAATTGTGGCCCCGGTCCGGCACCTGCTAGAAAAAAAAAATTCAATCCAGGACAATCAATAAATTGAACTGGTCAAGCGCCTGACCGGTGCTTAGGGGGACACGACGCTTCACATGTCCTGTAATGCTTCAAAGATCACAAATTGTTGTGTTCTTAACAATTTAGACGTGACCTTAAACTGCTTCACAACTCTGGTCTACACATGCGCATGAACAGAAAAAGAGCATCCACCAAAATCAGAGCTGCAGGAGTATTAGGCGGCCTGTTATGCATTTGAACCCAACGCTTGACGCCAGTGTTTTGCACGCTTCCAGCGGTACCTTCCCCAGCTTTCTCCCCATACCCATCTAGACCTCCCAGCTACCCGATGGCACTCCGGCCTTTGGTGTCTGTACACCAGGACGGCCTTCCAGCCGTCCTGGTGTACAGACACCTTCGTCAGCGTCCAGAAATTACCGTCCCATCGCGTTTGGAAAAATGGAGGCCTTTATCCTGTTTCATCTCCTCAGCCCACTTCTCCCTGCGCGCTATGCCCCAGTTGGCCAAAATATTGCATTTGGGCGTCATGGTGCTACAAATACAGATACTTAACTCGTGGGTTCTTACTAGTTTCTTAGTTCTCTTAATTTATCATGCAATAAACCAACTGAATTTAGAATTTCAACCAATTCCATTGACCTAGGGTTGCGTATAAAGGTTAGACCATGGTCAAAACCACACTGCTTTATGCTCAAGATCTGTTTTATAGGGTAGGGTAGTTTCTGGTACTCATTTCGAATCTATTAATGACAGGGACCGCAGCACACATTGTCCATGGACTTTTTCAAGTTAAGAGCAGGTCATTGACCTAAAACAACCCAGGTCCCCATATTATTTTTACGGACATACCAGCTAGCGTAACCCCTGACGATTATTTGAGTCCAAAAAAGTAATCTCGTAAGTATCTGGTCACCTTAACCTTATAAAGGTCAAACAAGGTCACCGACCTCATTGGCCTTTTGCTTAAAACAGGTGTTTGGCTTCACGACGGTTGCACGAGGAGGTCCGGGGGCACTTGAGACACCAATATGCAATTCGACCTCGTTTGACCTTATTTGACCCCGAAGGTTATAACCGAAGAAACCCAAATTTTGACACATGAGTTAACATACAGGACAATCCACCCTATCAATGTGGTGTTTCTACCTATCTTAGTTTTCGAGATCCCAGCGGGGTCAAATTGACCTTCCACCCGAGCGAATGGTAATCAACTGG